TCCGTCATATTGCTCTTGGCCAGCGTTACCGAACTGCAGTGAGCCACCGTAGATCCAGAACATTACAGCCCTGCCATTGCCGCCTGAGGGAGTGGATGGTGCATAGACATTGAGGTATAAGCAATCCTCCGACTCTTCAGGTGGCGGGTTATTGAAGACGGCCTGGGTGAACTGTGAACTTGACAACGGGTCTACCCCAATTAGCATATATCAGATCGCTTACATGGTTTGCGTACATCGAAATTGTTGGATACATGCTGGTTTGAACTCCGTGGCATTGACTGGCTTTTGGAAGGGCTCTGCAGCTCGCGGTGGAGAGAATCTCTCGGGTGGTGATGCAAAGGGCACACCTAGGAACTGATGCACTGGTCCAAGTGCATGAGGAAGTGAGGTGGTCTTCCCAACTATGACACCCGCGTCGACGGTTGCGGTTGGTACATCGTGTCCGGACGCATAGTCTGCCCAGGTTGTCGTCGCGCCGCTGGACAAGAGCAGAAGAGCAACGGAGCCGAATGTAGAAGACGAGAACATGTCGGCGGCACTGTGGTACTACTACCCGTGGACTGGTATGAAGCAGTATCCTGATCTCTTTATACAAGCCTCGTCTTTTTATTGACGCGAAACCGAGGTCAACACTCCCGTCGCAAGCCACCTCCAGCTTGGCATGCATCGCGCTGTAAGGTTTCCATCCAAACAAAATCACTTCTTAGTGCGCGAAGCCGAGGCTTAGGAGCCGTCTCCGCAACTAAAAAGCATAAGAGCGTCATGGCCATCCCGTGTATGCGGTTGCTATTGAGTAAACAGTGCAGCTCGCGCTAATGACGCGTAGAGTTCGCTTGTTGTCATTCGACGGTTGCATGTAGCGACCTGCTGGGTAAGAGCAGCAGGTCAAACCTTGAACTTAACAGACAAGATCACACGAAGAAGCAGACCATGAGAGAAAGGAGACGCGAAGATTGTGATGAAGATGCGGGACGCGCAGGTCATTGCGGGGTGCGTCTCGCTTCCGGTCACCCCCGGCTCCCAGTCCCAGCCACCAAGCCTCGCGACTGCCTGCCCATCCATCATCGCTACCGGGAACGCCAATATTCCATGCATACTAGGCCTCTACGTCGATAACAATCTCAACCACCATCAGGCACTGCTCAGTTTTGATCCGATTCTTGATCCGATTCGGCAAGATCGTCATTACTACGAACTACCGCCCTTAGACGCCTACGCCTACCCAAAGGATCGTCCGCCGCGCTCTTGCCATCGTTCCTCACAACTTCTCGATATGGCCCTCACGCGCATTCGCGTCACGGAGGCCGAACAGCAAGTTGAGGGCTCTGTTGCGTTCTAGCGGCTCGTCGCTATAGAATATCGTTATCCCAGCAATTACCTTTTGGCCAAGTTGGTCTCGATGCTGCCCAAGTAGCCAAGATACACCTGTACCGTGTGCTGTACCCAGCAGTGCTATGGCATGGTCACTATTCATGTCCAGATATAGTCCCGACTGTATACAAGCTTGTGACTGGCGACATAATATAATCTTAATTATCTTAACGTTACTATCTTAATAGATTATATCTTATTTTAATCTTAATATTTTTTCTTATAAAGTTTGTTAGAAAGTAAAAAGTTATAATAACTTAGTATAGTTATAATCTTAATATAGTTATCTATATATACTATAGTATATATACTAGATATAAAAATTTTAGTGTCTTATAAGTAGAATAGCTACCTAGTAATAAGTATAATAAAATAAATCTTCTATATAGTAAAAAGCTTTATCTAATATATATAAAAATAAATACTAGCTCTAAAACTCTACACGTAATATTAATTTAGTATATAGTACTTATAAAAACTATAATAATACTAATTTATATTAGTATAAATTTTATTTATAACTTTTATTATACTTAGTATATTAGAGAGTATAATATAAAAACTAAGTCTAATAATACTTAAAAGCTTTTACTATATATATAAAATAGAGTATATATAAAGGTATAGCTTATAAAAAAGTAACTTTATAAGTATATTTATACTATACTCTTAGAGATAGATAGCTAATAAAAGAGTAAGCTATATAGCCTTTTTAGCGTAGATAAAAAAGAAAATTTAAGTACTTCTTATACTCTTCTAGAAAATTAATAATATTAAAAATTTTATACTAAAAAAGGTTTAGTTTATTTTATAGTTAAAGTTATAAAAAAATAATTAAGTAATTATAAAGAGCTTTAAGTTTAGAGATAATATTTTTACTTTTTATTATAGTAAAGTATTAATATAAAGTAGAGTAATAAAACGTAGTTAGTAACTCTATATAGTAATTTTAATATAAGTGTATTTTTTAAATACCTTATACTTACTATATATAGCTATAATAATTAATAAAACTCTCTCTATAACATTTACTATAGATATAGTACTTAAATAATAGTAATAATATACTTATAGAGAGGTAATAGTAATATAAGCTTATCTAGTAAACTTAGAGGTAGACTTAGAGATAGTAATAAGTAAGCTATAGAGCTATTAGAGGCTATATAGCTATAAAAATATTAAAATATTCTTAATTCTAGAAATTAACGTAGAAATAAGCTTTCTAAAGTAGATACTAATAGTAATAATAAGAAAGTCTTAGTAAGAAGTATAGAAGATAGAGTGTAGTATAATATTAAATAGAAGCCTTTTTATTAGCTATAGAAGTAGATAAGAAACTATAGTAGAGGTAGTGTTAAACTATAGTACTATATAAGTAAACTATAGTTAGTAATAGAGTTAAATTATAGTATAGAGAATAGTAGCCTAGAGAGAGTTATATAAACTTTATATATAGAGAATACTTCTCTTTTTCTTTTTTTTTTATCTAATAACTTTCTATCTTAAAGAACTTCTTACATCTTTAAAGTATCTAAATACCTAAGCTAAATACCTAGCTAAATACCTAGGTATAACTTATAAGCTTAATACTAATACTAATATTACTTTAAAGATATTAAACTCTACTTTCTTCTCTATATCTACTACCTAGGTAGGTACTTTTAACTCTTTAGTGCTTAGCCTAGGTAATAGTTACCTAGTACTACTAATAGGCTTAGTCTCTTATAAAGTTAGTATTACTAATACTAATATAACTTTTAATATCTTATAGCTTAGAGCGTAAATATATAATAGTAACTTAAGTAATATAGTAGTAACTTTTTATAATATTATTATTCTAGTAAAGTTTAACTTAGAGAATCTAGTACTATATAATTATCTTTATATAGATATACTTTTTATTATTAAGCTATTCTAAATAAATACGCTGTTTATATACTATACTATAAAAAAAGAAGAAAATAAGACCTTTACCTAGAAGAAATTTAAGTGTTAGAAAATAGTAGATAGTATATATACTTATACTATAATAGTGCTAGTGTCTATAGTAGTATAAAAGTATATATAATATAAAGAACTTTATCTCTAGAGTTTACTCTAAAAGTTAAAAACGCTTAAAATTATTTAAAGAAAGAGAGATAAGCTACTAGTATAAGTATAGTAGTAAATAGACTAGTAAGCTAAGAAATAGTAGTTATAGGCGCTCTAGAGTAACCTAAGTATTATTATAAAGTATAGAAGGCTATAGTAAAAGCTAGAGACTTATTAGTATAAATAGAGAATAAGTAAGTAAGTAAGTAGATAAGAGTAAATATAGATAGTAAGTAGTAGTTACGTAATATAGCTAATATAGCTAGGCTTATAAGTAATTACGTATAGAATATAAGTTGCTAGTTTAGAAGCTTTATGCTAGTAGTAGACTTACTAGGTATTCTTTTAGTATTACGCAATTACATAAAGCTAGTACTAGTGCTACTAGTTAATAGTCTAGATAGCTATTAGTAATATATAATAAATATAAAGTAGTTAGCCTATTATAATTACGCGTATAGTAACTATTATATTAGTAGTAGAAGTAGAAGTAGTATAGGTATAAGTATTATAAGGCGCAAATCTAGGCTTACGTTAGAAATTTTTAAGTTTACTATTAAGTCTAATATAGTAACGCGTTATTACGCAATTACGTAATTATGTAATTGCTTAATTCTAAAAAAGTACGCTGTAGGCCCTGTCTCTTAGGCCTAGAGAGGATCTTTACTTTCTATAATAGCTCTATTACGCATTACTAGGGTAGATATTAGAGAGATACAACGTTAGTTCTATTATATTATTTATTATTATTTGTGACTGGCGAAGTGGAGCGTCGAGAATACTATTGATAACAGCCAAAGTATCTTCGTTCATGATGTTTGCTCTAATGATGAACTTGAGATTACGTATTCCTTCCTGGGTGCGTTGAGAATGGGCCCATTGGTGAAAGGCTATATCGGACCAGTGCTTCAGCGAGGGTAACATGGCGGCCGCCGGCGAGTTCAACCTCTTGGCCTTGTATGTCGGGCTGTAGTTGCAGATTGCTACGAGAATTCCCGCTTCAACGTGGATATCGGACATGAATCTCACGTCGCTCGCGACAAGTGTTTCGCCAGTAATAACATCTCTCGTGTAGTCGTCTGTAATATTGATGAAGTGAGAGTTAGAACCTTGATCACCGAGACTGTCCAGCTTTTTCGACAGGTCAGAGATACATGGAAGCCTTATTGTTCTCTTGTATCCCATTGCTCTTACTTCTTCGGACGTGAAGCATGGGCTTTGCGTGACGGCAGATTCGCCATGCATCACTTGGAACATCTTCTTGCCTTTGACCATGGCAGTCTTGTAGTCCAGATTACTGATATGTGGGTTTGTCATCGTGGGCATGGCTTAGTGTGAGATGCTATTGGGAAGCAGAGGAAGCGAGTGTCTTTTATACCCGAGGCTGGTGAAATGATGTATTCCATCTCCTACGAATCTTCAGTGGATCAAACACGGTGTAGTTTCATGAATGTTCTACCGTCAGCCTTCTCATCGTTCGCATAGCCTGACACATTGCTCGAGCAGCGCTCGCTCTACCCTCATAGCGACTTCCCTCAATCACCTTTCTCGCTGCCTGGGTTCGGAGTAACCGCGTCGCGAAGGTGGAACACCAAGCTTGGAATTATCGTCTTGCTTTTATGCCAGATTTCACGACAGTCCACCGTTACCTTGTAAACTGTCTTATGGCCCAATTGCTGTTTATGCTGTATGAGCAACCAAGCGACTCCGGCTCCATTCGGTGTTCCTAAGAAAGCAGCTACCTGATCGCGGTCGTCAACGTCGAATGAGTATGAGCCTGAAGCTTTGGGATGGGCTTGTTGTTTGATATGCTGGATGACGGCTTTTGTCTTTTCGTTTGTAATGCTCATTCGCATCACATAACGTAGGTCGGATGAGTCCGTGTTACTGCAGGCCCATTGCAGGTATGCGACATCTGACCAGTACTTCAGACTAGGAACGTCATCGCCAAGGTCATTATCTTCCGTAGACTTGTGGCCGGGTTGCTTCAGCTGAGCGTTCTCGGTATCCGCTCTCGCTTTTCTCCATTCTTCCATAGGGCTATACGTGTTCATGGCTGCAATCATACCACCGGAAGTGTTGATTACTGAGTCGAAGCGTATCTTCATCTCAAGTCCTTCTTGTAGCGATCCTTCTATCGGTTCAAGGCCGTGGTGATCATGAGAAACAGGGATGTTTCTTGAAGTGTCGATTCCAAGGTCCTCCAACAGTCGCGCCAGAATTTTGGAATCGTCCCCAGCGGAGCGCTCAACCCAATTGTTCTCCAAGAGATCTTCGTGGTTGAGGTGCTCGCTTTCAGCTGGCGTATCTGTGTTTTTGAGTAAATTACCGAGCTCATCAAAGCTAGCTTCCAGCATCTGTAACAGCGATAGACCTTTCTCGTGAGCCAACTCGTAATGCACTGCCGGACTGATTGAGGTCGTCATCGGAGAGAATGCTAGTGACAAAAGTGTCGCAGGCGGGCCGCGGCAGTACTAAGTATGTTGCCATCCAGATGCATTTATGAGTTCCTTGAGTATGAGATGTTGAGCGTCACGCGCATCGTCAACAAACGGTATGACGAGAAGCAGCTGATATGTAGCCTAATCTGGTCCACCCCTTCTCTAATTCGCTCAATGTAAAGTGAATGCAGATACAATCTTCTCACCTGGCCCATAGTCTACACAATCCAAAACAGCAAAGTCGGCCATCTAAACAAATCATCCTTTTTTGCCGCATGGAATAAAGTCACCTTCTCAATTTTCTTCTCTCCAAACGCCTTCTTATGTTGAATAAGCATCCAAGCGACACCACAACCATTCGGCGTCCCCAAGATTGCCTTGCCTTCTTCAGTGTCCATTCCGAACGTGATACCAGGCCAAAACTCGAATGTAAACGTGCCATGCTTGCTGATAATATTGTTGAGCACCAGAGACGTCTCGGCGTTTTGTATCTGAACGCGGAAGACGTAGTTGAGCGGAATCGGCCGTACGGGTGGTTCGGGGAAAGATGAAAGGTATTGTAGAAACGCTACGTCTGACCAGTGTCGCAGTGGCGATAGTCCTATAGCTTCTTCTTCCCATGCGTCATCAAATTTCGCTGCATGCGTGCGAGTGAGATTACTGTCTGCGATCAAGACACCAGATAGTGGGTTGCTGACTTGGGAGAAGTAGCCGTGTGTTGTCTGGTGGCTCATTAGAACACGCGTACCTTTAGCCCATCTCGAAACTTACCGTATCATCTCCTCTCGTTGCTGCTCCGTCGCAGTCATGCACATGATGTGTTCTCATGTTCTCTCCGCCATCATACACCATCTTGTCGCTGACACCTAGATCGCAGAGCGCATCGGCGATACAGTCGATTTCAAAGAACTTGTCTTGAGGCTTCAGAAGGTAGCCACGTTGGGCTAGTTCTTGTACCTCCTCGAATGCGCTTTGAACTTGTGTCTTGTCCCTCGCGGCCAGTATCTGGAGTAGCCTAGTACCCTTCACGACAGCGGCCTCGTAGTCTTGAAATATCGGCAATTTTGTCATGGTAGAGATCTATTGGTGGATGAAGGAAGGGAATTTTCCAAGAGAAAGGTGAGAGAAGAAAACGGGGTTATGGAATCACTCCCGCACGTGAGAGTCGAATAACAGTGTTTGCTCGACCGTGCTTTACTTCACTCACTGTGTCACACGAGCGCAGATCATTCGTTACTCCACAGCTCCTGACCGCATTGCCACCTTGTTGCGCCTAAAGCATGCCTCCGTTCCATGTCTGGCTATCCCGTGTCACTTGTCCTCACCCACTTTGCCCTGCTCGCCATCTTCCTTCGCACCTTTAACACCGTCAGGCCCAGTACTCCATCCAAGCATAACACAAGGACACGGGAAACTAACCAAACATACTGCCTCCGCCGCCACCCATCCTCCCTCCCCTCTGCGCCTCCCTAACCAACCACTCCCTCAGAAAGTCCTTATTCCGCATCTCCTCGGGCCGCGTCAACCTCGTATCAAATTGCGCCTCCTGTCTTGAAAACGCCAATAGCGTCGGCATACTACTGATGCGGTATTTTATAGGCAAATCCTCAATCAACGTGCTGTCCATCAACACTTCCACAAAGCCCAGTCCGCCTTCCCGCTCCCCGATCTTTTCTTCTTCGATGAGTTGGCGGATGAGCGGCTTGATGGCTTGGCAAGTTTGACACCAGGTCGCGGTCCAGAAGGTTATTAGTGAGCGGTTGTCGGATGCGTTGAGGAGTGTGAGTGTGTGCAGGTCGTTGGGTTGGCGGATGGGGTCGAAGATGCGGTTGGTGTGCGAGCGCGACGTGGGGTTGAGGAGGGAGAAGGCGCGTTTCGAGGCATTGGGAAAGACATTGAGGCGGATGGTGGAAAGGAGGGTCGGTCGTATCATTTTGGCGGGTTGTGGGGTTGTGTTGGGAGTGGTAGGTTGGGTTGTGGAGGTTTGGGGCTCGTGGATCGCGACGCGTGAAGGTTTTGGGGCTACGTCATCGGTTGCCGGAGCTTAGGGTCGTCACTCGCGGTCGCGTCTACATGCCACCGCGCAACATAACAGGCTACACTGAACAACGACTTTTACATATCATTCAGGGCAGCGCATTGCCGATACATTAGCGAACTCTCCTCAATACAAATACAACGATGACCCTTCTACGATAACCGCGCCAGCGCAGTCCGTCTACGTTACAAATACAAGAGCAAGGGGCACCTAATACCCGTCAAGGAAAGAGAGGCTGTCGCTTAGGCGCTGCCTTTTCCTGGAAAAGGACGAATGAACCGTATCTCTGACACGAGTGTCAACAGTCGCGTGCGAACTGTAAAAGCGACCGAGGCCATCGTCAATCTCTTCACGCGACTTACGCTTTACACCTGCCTGGGCTTCGAAGAACTCTAGATCCGCGTCGTCATAACTTCTGTCCAGACTCTTTTCCTGGTCCTCCTTTTCCTTGCCTTTAGAAGGGGGCCATACAATATTATTAGACCGATCGTAAGGGGCGTCTTCAACCGATAACAGCGCCAGAGGCCGGTCATCCGCATCGTACCGTTGTTGCACATGATTTAGCAAATCGCCCTCTCCTTCCGCTTCCGGTAAATCATCAACTCGATCCGGCACCTGGGGGACAGTACCTTCAAAGCGCCTGTTTGCGGGTACAGCTTCATAAGTCCTCTCCACTGTCAACTTCCGGCAGAAGAACCAAGCTACCAATGCCTTCCAGTCGAGTAATCCCGCTATTGCAGCCCTAGCAAATAACCATGCCTCAAAATAGACCTTCTCGTTGTATGGGCCCCTTTTGGTATCTGGTGTGAGACCCATTGCGAGTATCCAGGCGTTTACGAAAACGTGGTAGCCACGTTGAAATCCGCCCGTCTGCTGCTTTGGTACAGGATATCTATGATTGAAGCCTGCAACTTGCGCGGTATTACGATGTGAGGACCAACCAAGACGTCCAGCTGCTCTCAAAACGGAACGGCCCAAGAACTCGTGGGCGTTCTCCAAGATGGCCGGATGACTATCAAGGGTATAAGTATCGACGCTCAGATGATTTGTATTCGGTTGGTCGTCTCGCTCTTGGAGTACCATGAGCAATGTGTGACCTCCGCCTTTTGGCAGGCGCTTCACTTTATGGCCTTTCGTCTCCTGCCATGCGTTGGCCCGTTCTAGGAGTGGTCCGCTCACATTCAGAGGCATAAACCAGCATCTCCTAGGTCTCGATGCCACAGGATGATCTGCTGGCAGTGGTTTAAGTAGCGCCTCTCTTAACGCGTCAGTTGGGGCCATCGAAAACCCCCCAGCAAATGGCTGACCGTCAGCGCTGTTCATCCTGTGAAGCTCTCGCTGCTTGTCATCGATTGCCTCGATCACGGCAGCGATAGCCATATTTATTTCCCACGGTTGACATTCTTGTCTATTGATCTCCTCTCGCATCCCGTTAGAGAAGCTTGGTGCCAACGGTTCGTAGTTCAGAATACAATCGTAAAGGTTTATAGCGTCTGCTTTCCAGGCACAGGGAAAGTGATCGATCTGCACATTCAATCCCGGCGGATGTAATTTGTTGAGGAATTCCCTGTAGTGAGGAAGTATATCCTTGGTGATATCCAAAGTCCGGTCCTTTAGTTTGCCGTGTATGTGTTCCAGGTGGTTCTCAAATTCCACGCCATGCATCAAGAAGTGTTGGTCCCACTGCTCTTTTAGTCCCTTGCTGTCCGTATCAAGAACAAGTTTTCCCCAGCGTTCGAGATCCTTCACATACTCCTTCCTTGCCTCTTCCGTCCAGTCGTCTGATGGCCATTCCTCGTCGTGTCGCTTCCCTGGGACAACATGTGTTCTGTTTGCTTTGGCCAGTTTGGGGAAATCTGGATCCCTTTCTTCCCATTCGCGGCGCTCTGACTCTTCCAGACGATCCAATACCGATTCTAGTGCTTCATCGCGCGGCAAATTCTCGGTCCGTTCAAAATGGCGATCCTCGGGCACGGCTGCTGCATTGTCAACAAACTCTTTACATCTGAGAAACGCATATATCAGTCTCCAGTCTGCTCGTCCAACACGAGCGATGTGGATCACATCAATGAGGTCTCGGAAGAATTGTGCTGTCCAACTTGGGAAGAAATTGATGTTGGGTTGGAGCCCCAAAGCCAGTGCCCACGCATTCAATATGGTATAGTATCCACACTCATTATCCGTAGGTTGTGGGGCTACGGGAATCCACTCAGCGTGCAATGCCTCCCGGGTGTATTGGCGTAAGTCACCTTCGTCCGGAAGATTGGGAAACCGGCCCCAGCGCGAGGCGATAAAGATGTTTCGAGCTGTGTCGAAAACATGAGCACGTCGTTCGAAGCTATAGTTGTGAGATTTAGAATCTAGGATGGAGATCGTAGGTGTAGGCTCCTTCTTAGAGCCGTCAAACTGAATAACCACCAAGATGATATGGTTGTCAATATTCACCGGTACTATCAACGGCCGTCCCGGTCGAATCGTAGGCTGCATCAACGTAGGATTCTCGTGCCGACAGTATTGAACTGCAGTCTGGTCCAAACAACCGAACCCGCCCTCTAGGTCCTGAGCATTCGTTATGCCGAGCGTCACGGCTGCGATGGCCAAGGACACCTCTTCATCCTTGAGCCACAGTCCGAATGTGGTGGTTGCACGACTTCGAAGACTTTCTACTGCTGCTGCTACGGCCGGATCACTCAGAAGCGCGTTTCGCTGTTGGTTGAAGTATTCGCACGGGTCAAAGTTTTCTGGCAACGCTGACTTTTCTTTGGGGTTACCGGAAGTCTCTTTGGTCTTTTCCGATACAGATTTGGTACCTTCTCCGGGGTTTTGAGGACGAGCGGGGTCGCCCAGTGGTTTATCGCCATTGTTTGACGGTTTGGGATAATCGCCCTTGGAGCCACCTGAGGGTGCGGGAGCAATTGACAGGACCTTGCTGTACATTCCAGACGTGATCAACTCGGGTATACGCGTTGACCTATCCGGCTTGTCGTAGTCATCCCACGGGAAAGCTTCAGTATGCGCTACACCCGTATTCACTGGGAAATGCGGATAGTTGATGTCACGGCAAGCCTGAGTCTCAATCGAGCGCTTTGTCTTTCTGTTGCCTCTGGTGATACGGGGGCCACGAGCAGGCCTTGTCGCTTTGAATCGACGCTGCAACGGAGGCGGCTGCTCGGACTGAGTATAACCCACACAACGCAAGAACGCCCAGATCAGCTTCCAGTCTGCATGTGCTTTGACCACTGCCTGGAGCAGAGGAAGTGCGCTGTCGTAGAAATCTGCGCCCATGCGGAATTCGGGATTGATAGGTAGACCGAGCAGTACAGCCCATGCACTCATTATTGCAAAATACCCAGCTTCTTTTACTTGTGCTTGCTGAGGACCCGGCATCCATTGTAGTACTGGCCCGACGAAACTTTTAACTTCGTCTGCAGTAGGATCAACTACTAACATCCCCGCTTCAACCAGTAGGTCGTGGATTTGGACGCGCTCCTTCGCCGTGGTAGTCCATGGTGCGGAGTCCATAACGCGTGAGACATCAGGAGCTTCTTTGGATGCGTCCTCATGCTGCAAGACTACTAGTATGACATGGTCTCCCAGTTGGCAGACCATCATAACCACTGTGTCCAACACGCCAGAATCATCTGCGTATCTGGATGAACCATTCAGGTCTGCCAGCGTGAAGCCCCGCTGAGGCTGCTCAGGCGAGAGCAAATCGTTGATAGCTCGTACAACGGGCTCGATATATCCAAAGACAGCTTGACTCCACCTGGATGGCAATGCTTCGTCGATTTCACTTCCGACTTTTGGTTCAATCTTCCCCTGCTCTTCGAGCAATTTAATCTGCTCGTGAAGATGCTTGCAAGGATCAAAGTCGGCCGGAATCTCCTCGGTATCTGGAGTCGATTTATGTGGAGGTGGAGGTGGTGGTGGTGGTGTTGGTTTTAGCAACGACACATCCGACAATTTCTGCTCTTTGTTTTCGTCCAGACGCTTTTTCAGCTTCTTCTTTGTGTCAGCGAAGTTCCATCGGCTATCACGGACGATGGAAGTGAGGTTGGTCCGTTCGAGCTCGCTTAGTGAATCGGCAGCGAAGGCTACATCATGGCGCATTCCATGCTCGAGTCCCAAAGTGACCAGCTCCATATCGATCTTCTTGCCCTCAGCAGCGGCGTCTGCTGCCGTTTGGCGAGCGATCAGCTTCTGGAAAGAGCGGTTACAAAGATCAAATCGCCTTGATAGATGCGGGAGATCTGCCTCTTCATCATTCTCGCTGCCCTCGCTGGGCTTAACGAATCCGGTGCAGCGGAAAAAGGCGAGCAATACCCTCCAGTTCAACGTGTCTTGAAGGGCCAGATCGAAGATTTGTTGGGCCCGGATGAAGAACGATTCGTGACCATGAGCGCTGGGTGTGAACGACGGGTTTGGCGCGAGGCCCATCGCGAGCGCCCACGCGTTCAATACGGTGTACGTAAAGCTTCCATCGCCTGTCGTGACCTGAGCCGCCGGTACCCACATAGTGGCCTCGGGCAGGTTTTCTTCCATTTGATCTAACGAGTCAAAGACATGCCGCCACCATGTGGAGCTTCGCAAAGTCTCCCTGATGTGTTCATCGATAGCTTTCCGACTAGACAGTGTTGATCGCCACGTCATAGGGTCTAGGACTTTGAGTGTGATGTGCTTGTCGGCATGGATTTGAGCAGCGAGCAACAGATGGTTCCCTTCCACCTCGATTGGTTGCAACAGCGTCCTCCCGGGTCTGAAAGTCTGTCCTTCATGCTGATAGCTGAGTCCGGTAGCTTCTTTCTCTCGATAGTTCACCGAAGCAAGAACTCTGGGAATGAGCTCGCGATATCGACTTTGTTGATGAGACAACAGCTGAGCTCGCATATACGCAC